TCTACTAACATCTAAGGAGAAACATATCTCTGAGCCTTGGAAATAGCTTATAAGTCATTATTGTGTCTACTTGTGAAGAGAAAAAGCAGGGCATAGATGGACATAATAATACTAACATTTAAAATTCTTGGTTCATTTTGGAGGCCTGCTTTCTTTTGAGACAGCCAGGAAATTAATATACAGGGAAGCGTATATGAGTCCCACTGAGTGCCATGCATTCTCATAACAAGTGAAAGAAAAGATTCATTTGTATGCACAGGGAATACTTCTTATATATGCCAGTTTTCATCCTAGATCTGTGTAGCTGACAAAGCTTTACCAATTGAACTGGACACAAAACTGTTAAGTCAAGCAATTCAGTCACCAGAGGATTTGCAATATGCTATTTATATGAAATACACATTTGTTGAGATGTGATTCCAGAGCCGCATCGCTGAACAGACACACTTACTGGCAGTGGTGTTTCTTTTTCAGAGGGAGAGTGAATCTGCTCCAGTTTGACTCCAAACATTAAAGGAACTATCTAAGGTGCTGAACCGATTACAGGGATGCAATTCAGCATTCCAACGAGCTCATTTAAACTTCAAATGAAAACCAGAACATATTTGTTCTACTTGTCCTTAAGCCAATAGCTGACATTTTCAATATTACATATTGAATGCAGAGGGATTCTGATACCTCTGTTGCATACATCTTGGACTTGTTTTCTCTGTATCTTCTTGCGTGAACTTGCTTGACTTTGAAAATCTTTGCTGAAAGGTTTTCTCTTCTGCCACCGTGATATGGATGTTGAAGACAAAAGAGGGAGTCTTCCTTGTGACTGCTCCCAAATGGTGGAATGGCCTTTCAAAGGAGGCTTGGTTGAACCCATATATTCTCATTCTTAAGAGCCTTTCTTAAGAGTGACTTATATTATGCCCTTTTGTTACTATACTGTATGACCTCCCCTCCCGTACCTTCAAGATATACACTTATAGGTTCACCTACCTCCATCTAACAAAATAAGTGCTGTCTAGGAATATGATCACCAGCTTGAATAGCTCCTTTAAAGCTGAGCCTAGAGCCCCACACAGATTCACCATCCTCTGATATGGAAGTCTCCATTCACCATTGAGACAGATAGTAAAAGGGCTCTAGCTTTAAGAGTTTCATCCTGATTAAGAAAGACATCATGGTTGGTCAACTGTGCCATCAAAATATATTGTATGTATGTATGTATATGTATATGTATATGTATATATTCCCACAGAACTTTGGAATACCACCTTCTTCCTTCTTATCGCAGCCAAAATGAAGGCAGGAAGTCATGTTGTGTCATTTCTGGTTGCCATTTTGAACAGAGTATGGAGAAAAACAAGATATTTTGATATACTGCCAGGTAGGTATGGCTCATGAATGGATGGGATAGGAAGGAACAATAAGGTATTCCAAAGTTCTGTGGGAATATATACATATATATTGTGTTTTGGGGAATGGGATGTGACTTTAAACATTACTTTAATCCAGAAAAAAAGATTAAAATTAGGGGTTGGAAGATTTTGAGGGCCAGAGAAGTGGGTTCCAAGATCACAAGCTGACTGCTGGCAGACCCTTTCCCCAACTCACATGCTGTACAAGTTTGCACTGAAAAGGGTTTACTCAGTTCAGATTAACTTTCTTCAAAGTGCTATTGCTTCCAGCTAGTATTAGGAATACAATACACCCTCTGTCTACTTCCTTTCAGTATTCTTATTTATCACTGTCTATACTTTTAATTAAGCCAATGAAAACTCTCAAATGCTGTTGTCTCTCCTTGACAACTTTGCCCCAGAGAAAATATGTGTATTTGCTATTTTAAACATTGTGGGGTTAGTCAAATGATCTTTTTGCACACGAGACTTAAATCACATGATATTTCAGTCGAGCGTAAAGCATACACTGGGTAGATTTGGAATGGACAGCTTTTCAACTGTGAAATGGATTGGATGGTTTACCCAATCTTTCTGTAAGATAGACCTATAACAATACCAAGAATTCATTTTAAGCTCCTAGCACTTGGGGGGGGGGGGGGTATGGACGCTCATAATGAAGACTCAGTTAAGAGGAATTATCTTCATTAGTATGGGCCAACTCAATTGTGCATTCAAAATAATCATCCATGGGCTTAAGTTTGCATTTCTCTTCCTAAGTCTATCCAGTATTCACATGTTGCACCACAGAGATTCTGAGAAAGTATTGAACCCATGCTTCCTAAAGGTGTATCCTATGGTGGGGTCTACACTGTAAAATTAATGCAGTTTGACCCCAAGTTAAGTATTATGGCTTAATGCTATGGGATGCTTTATACTTATGAGTGATATTTTTTTACTTATACTTAACATGTCTGTTGTTGTTTATTAGAGGGGGCAGGATATAAATAAAACTTTATTATGATTATATCCTGGGAGTTGTAGTTTGGTGAGGCACTAGCACTATTTGACAGAGAAGGCTAAAGACCTTATAAAACTAAAACTCCCATGATCTCATAGCATTGCAACATGACAATTAAACATGAATTAATTCTACAGCGTAGAAGCAATTCTAGTTTCCCAGTTGGCAATTTCCCTGACCACTTTAGCATGTGTAATCACAGGGGAAGGGATGCTCAACTTTCCCTCAATATCCACTCTCATTTTCCTTTATTCATTGGGCTCTAGATTCCTATTTTAAACTCCAAACATGATAAGTAGTTCTGTTCTAACTGATCTTTCCCTCCTGGAGCATCCTTCCAGAGGAAGATGTGGCCTTCCATGAGGCTGCATGAGGCTGTATCGTGTCACCATTATTCATGATATGTTTGTATCAAACAACATCAGAAGCACATATATGGCTGGAGTTGCACTTAAGAAACGTACCTATTTCGACTTACAAACAAATCAAACTGAAGCACAAGCCTATAGAACTGATGTTCATAGTTTGGGAACAGCATGTCTTTTAAAGCAGCTTTCCAAGGTGGTGAACCTTTCTTGGGGGGTGGGGGTTGTCTGTACTGAAAATGCAGAACAATTTTAACCAATATAAACTTACCAGTATTTCAATGGAAGTGTGGGTCTGCTTTTGGCTGGGCTCTACAGGACAATGGACTGGCATCAGAAGAGCAGAAAGACCAAGAACAAGCCACAAGAGTAAAGACAAAGATCTGCCCAGAGGAAATGTGTTCTTGCCATACATCAAGGGAACCACTGACCGCATAGGGAAGCTAATGAAGAAACACAACCTACAAAGTATCTACAGACCCACTAAGAAAACCCAACAAATGCTACATTCAGCAAAGGACAAGAGGGATCCTCTCACTTCTGCAGGAGTCTACCATGTATCATACAGCTGTGGGAAAGTCTTCATAGGGACCACCAAACGCAGCATTGCCCAAACATGAATCAAGGAACATGAAAGGCACTGCAGACTGCTTCGACCAGAGAAGTCAGCCACAGCAGAGCATCTGATGAACCAACCTGGACACAGTATATTACTTGAGAACACAGAAATGCTGGACCACTCGAACAACTACCAGGTCAGGCTACACAGAAAAGCAATTTAAATCCACAAGCATGTGGACAATTTAAACAGAAAGGAGGAAAACAATGAACAAAATCTGGCTACCAATATTAAAAATTCTAAAATCAGGACAGTAAATAAAGAGCAACACTCCAAACGCAAGGGAATACCAGATAAGAATCAATCAGGGCCAGCTAACACCCCCAACAAAGGATTCCCCCCAGGCAGCAACCAGCCAGGCTTTGAAACTGCAAGGCCATTTCATGCTAACCAAGGTGGCTAACTGCAACATTCACAATTGCCTTAGGCAGACAAGAGTTCTTTCTCCCACCCTGGACATTCCACAAATATATAAACCCCACTTGCCTAGTTTCCAATAGACCCTTCAGTCTCCGAGGATGCCTGCCATTGGTGTTGATGAAATGTCAGAAGAGAATGCTTCTGGAACATGGCCATACTGCCCAGAAACCACACAACAACCTAGCCCAGGTTATTTTGTGAAGTCCTTTCAGACTTTGGGCAACCCTAATGTTTAGGGCCAGGCTGCATTCAGCCTGTGGGCCTTAGTTTGGGGACCCCTCATCTATGGGACTGGATGGAGCCTCTTCCATCCCTATATTTTATTTATCGTATCAGAAGCAAACAGAGGGTACAACTGTAATGTATTTTTAAAAACCACAAAGTTTAAAAACTTGGCATGATGCTAGATTTCCTTTGACCAGAAGCTGGCCACTTGGAGTGCTTCTGTTGTTGCTGCAAGAAGGTCCTCCACTGTGCATGTGGCAGGGCTCAGGCTGCATTGCAGTAAGTGGTCCGTGGTTTGCTCTTCTCCACATTTGCATGTGGTGGACTCCACTTTGTGGCCCCATTTCTTAAGGCTGGCTCTGCATCTCGTGCAATCTGTTCAGCACCTTCCAAGTCACTCAGTCTTCTGCGTGCCCAGGAGGGAGCCTCTCATTCATTCATTCATTTATTTATTTACTTTATTTGTATACTGCTCTTCTCAGCCCTTAGGCGACTCAGAGCGGTTTACAACAGTTTAGATATACAGAATACAAAATCATTATGCATTCAGTATCAACCATGGCTTACAGTTCCGGTTTTTAGCCTGCCACTTTTGGACTCTTGCTTGCTGAGGTCTTCCTGCAAGCATCTCTTCCTATGCTTCTGTGTGTATTTACTGTCCGGTGAAGGTTTCATGGGATCTGCATGGTGATGGCTCATTTAGTACAAGCCTATTCATAAGCCCTCTTTGGGAGGAGATGCTTCTAAGCCAGGCATGAGCAAACTTCGGCCCTTCAGATGTTTTGGACTACAACTCCCACCATTTCTAACAGCCTACCGGCTGTTAGGAATGGTGGGAGTTGCAGTCCAAAACAGCTGGAGGGCCGAAGTTTGCCCATGCCTGCTAGAAGCAGAAGCGTGCTCCGGCGGCGAAGGGCAGGGCTCTCTCTCCCCTGGGCCCCGGAGGCGTGCTCTTTCTTCCCCGGAGGCTCGCCGTCCCTTGCTGGGCGTGAGCGGGGCCTGGCAGGCTCCGAGGCGGGCTGAGCCGGAAAGGAATGCGAGTGGGAAGGGAGGGCCGGCGCCCGGCAGCAGGGGCAGGAGCAGCACCAGCAGCAGGAGCAGCACCGGGCATGCCGAGGCCCATCCCGCCGGGAGGGAGAGGCAGAGCCAGGCGAGAGCGGCTGCCCTTCTTCCGACGGGGCGCACGCAGCGAGGAGGGCGGGCTCTCCAACCCGGCTCTCCCTCGGAAGGCAGGCGGAGCAGAAGCAGCGGCGGCGGCTCTCCCGGGCCGTCTTTTCCCCATGGCGTCGGAGAAGGTGTTGAGGGAGGGGGTGCTGGAGAAGCGGAGCGGGGGTCTCCTGCAGCAGTGGAAGCGCAAGCGGTGCCTGCTGGGCGAGAAGGGGCTGCGGCTCTTCGGGGTCAGCAGCCGGGGCTCCACGCGCTGCAAGGAGCTGCCCTTCGCCCGCCTCAAGGCCCTCGAGTGCGTCGAGTGGAAGCAGCGGCGCGTCTACTTCACCCTGGTGACCGACGGCGGCGAGGAGATCGACTTCCGATGCCCCGAGGAGGAGCCCAGCTGGAAGGCCGACATCGCCCTCGCCCTCGCGCGCTTCAAGAACCAGCAGGCCGTGCAGGTGGTGCGCGCCAGGCACAGCTGCCGCGCAGGTAACTTGGGGACCCGGATGGGCGCCTCCCGAGAGACCAGGCTCCCGAGAGACCAGGAAGGCCACATCCAGTCCTTGGCATCGCAAGGAGGAAGGCAGGACCCCAACACTCTCGTCCTCCAGGTGCTGGTAATAGTATGATAGCTGGGTCCGGAAGCTCCGAGCGTTACGGAGATGCCGCATCGCTCCTTCGGGAGCGCTGTTAGCGCAAGAGACACTTAGCTAATGTAAGCCAGGCTGGAGACAGAAAATATAGAAGGAATGTAAGAGTTCTTTAATGGTGAAACCTTCACCCTAATCCTAACCCTGAACCCTACCGTAAGCCTAAACCTAACCCCTTACCCTAACCCTAACCCTTTTACCCTAAGCATCCCCTCCTTTCTATCCTTCCTTTGCTCTCTCCGCTTTCACTCCACTCCCTCTCTTCCCTTGTTCACAGCCGCCTTTGCAGCATCTCGGTAAAGCTCTGAGCTTCCAGACCCAGCTATCATACTATCACCCAGGTGCTTTGAACGCCCAGACCATTGGCCAAAGGCTTCTGGGAGTTGTTGTCAAAGGCTTTCATGGCTCGAATATATGAACCCCTGGCAGTGCAGTGGGTTAAACCCTTGTGCTGGCAGGTCAGAGGTTCAAATCCGGGGAGAGCACGGATGAGCTCCCTCTGTCAGCTCCAGCTGCCACACAGATAACTGAGGTATGGGGATGGGCGCCTCTTTGGCTCCCGAGCAACCAGGAAGGCCCACCCAGTCCTTGGCATCGCAAGGAGGGAGGGAGGACCCCAACATTCTGGTCCTCCGGGTGCTTTGGATGCCAGGATCATTGGCCAAAGTGGTTAGGGTTCTTCTGGGAGTTTGTTGTTCAAGGCATCCAAGGTTGGACTATAGGAGCCCCTGGTGGTGCAATGGATTAAACTTTTGTGCCAATAGGACTGAAGCCTGACAGGTCAGAGGTTTGAATTTGGGGAGAGCTTGGACGAGCTCCCTCTGTCAGCTCTGGCTCCCCATGCGGAGACATGAGAGAAACCTCCCACAAGGATGGTAAACCATCAAAACATCTGGATGTCTCCTGGGCAACGTCCTTGCACTCGGACAATTCTCTCACACCAGAAGCGACTTGCAGTTCCTCAAGTTGCTCCTAATACACACAAAAAGGCCAGAATAATTGTATTGCTACTTTCAAACTGCAGGGAAGGAAATTTCACCTGAACATTAAGAAAAACTTCCTAACTGTGAGAGCTGTTCAGCAGTGGAACTCTCTGCCCCAGACTGTGGTGGAGGCGCCTTTTTTGGAGGCTTTTAAACAGAGGCTGGATGGCCATCTGTCGGGGTTGCTTTGAATATGATTTTCCTACTTCTTGGCAGGGAGTTGGACTGGATGGCCCACAAGGTCTCTTTCAACTCAATGATTCTATGGTTTAATGAGTTTTCCAGGCTGTATGGCCATGTTCCGGAAGCATTCTCTCCTGATGCTTCATCCACATCTATGGCAAGCATCCTGAGATTGTGAGATTTGCCTGCCATAGATGTGGGCATAACTTCAGGAGAGAATGCTTCTGGAACATGATCGTACAGCCTGGAAAACTCACAGCAACCCTCTTCTGGGAGTTGATGTCCCAAACATCCAGAGTTTGGGAACCACTGACTTGACAACAGCAAAGGCTTATAAAATGACAACTTCCATCATTGCACAGCACTGAGCCACTGGCAGTTCAAGTCGTGTTAAACTACATTCATTCATTCATTCAACAGTGTAGATGCCCCTTCAGATCACATCCTTTTATTCTGCAACTTCTTTCTTAATTCTGTGGGGGGCATCTACACTGTAAAACTGACACCCCATTGCAATAACTACCATAGCTCAATGCTATGCAGTCATGGAAGTTGTAGTTTTACAAGCTCGATGCTACAGAATCATGGTGTGTGTGTGTGTGTGTGTGTAGTTTTACAAGGTCTTTAGCCTTCTCTGCCTAAGAGTGACGGCACATCTCTAAACTGCAGCTCCCAGGAGCCCATAGCCTTGAGCTGTGGCAGCTAAAGTGGTGTCAAATGGCATTCATTCTGTCAATGTGGCATCGGTTCAACTCCTGAGAAAGACCTCATCCTGACAGTGGGGAGTTGCTGCTGTCCACTTAGAGCAGGTATGGGCAAACTTGGGCCCTCCAGGTGTTTTGGACTTCAACTCCCAGAATTCCTAACAGCCTCAGGCCCTTTCCTTTTCCCCTCAGCCATTTAAGCTTAAGAAAGGGACACGAGGCTGTTAGGATATGTGGGATCTGAAGTCCAAAACATCTGGAGTGAAGGCCCAAGTTTGCCCATGCCTGCTCTAGTTTCTAGCACCCAAACCACTACACCACATTGACTCTCCAAAGCAATATACTGTATATTAAAATAATAATCAAAAGGGCTCTTTTCAAAGCCTGGGTGCACGAGATAGGGATTGTTTGTTTCCACTAGTCACCCTAGGAAGAGAAGGCCCAAGGATCAATGGCATGTCAGGGCATGTCAGAGCAAAGATCCAAATGATGCCCCCTTTCGGAAAAGAATAACCTTTGACACTTAGCTACTTTATAATGGTACTCCAAAGTGATATGAGGCTGTCTAGCAGGAGGATATGGAGAATGTGAACCAAATTTGATTATTCTTCTGATATCACACAGCTGCTTGCATGTGAATTTGTCATCTTCATTGACTGGACAAATTCATTGGGACATAAGAAAATAAATACTGTACTTGCTTGGAAATGTTACTTTTTAGATTCTAACTTCAGAATCTCCTAGCCAGTGTGGCTAATTTCTGAGAAAGTACTGGGAGTTGTAGTCCAAAAAAGTTATGCTGAACTGATTGAATCAGATGGGAAACGAGTGGTTTTCCCTTCATACAGTATATTTCCTTCCTCCTGCTTCATCCTTTACAAGGTAAAGATGTGTGTGTGTGTTTCTTCAATTGGACTGTTGTGACCCCATTTGTTTCAAGGAGTTGAAGCATACCTGTGAGTTAGTCCATTCTCATTTTTGTAGAATTGTATGGACCTCCAGAATAAAGGAATACAACATGGCCAACTACTTTGCAGCTTCTCCATTACTGAAGCACAGAGCTCCTTTTTATCATTTAGGTTCAAGGTTTCAGAATTTTTTTAAAGGAAGGAATAGGGTGTCATAAATAATAGCACAAAACCCTGTAGAACAGTGTTTCTTAACCTTGGGTTTGGGACCCCTGGGAGGGTTGCAAGGGGGTGTCAGAGGGGTCACCAAAGACCAAAGTATTTTCTGTTGGTTGTGAGGGTTCTGCATGGGAAGTTTGGCCCAATTCTATCGTTGTTGGGGTTCAGAATGTTCTTTGATTGTAGGTGAACTATAAATCCCAGCAACTACAACTCCCAAATGGCAAGGTCTATTTCCCACAGACTCCACTAGTATTCACATTAGGGCATATTGAGTATCTGTGCCAAGTTTGGTCCAGATCCATCATTGTTTGAGTCGACAGTGCTGTCTGGATGTCGGTGAGCTACAACTCCAAAACTCAAGGTCAATGCCCAGCAAACCATTCCAGTATTTTCTGTTGGTTAAGGGAGTTCTGTGTGCCAAGTTTGATTCAATTCCATCATTGGTGAAGTTCAGAATGCTCTTTGATTGTAGGAGAACTATAACAAAATCAACCCACCCTCCAAACCCACCAGTATTAAATTTGGGTGTATCGGGTATTTGTGCCAAATTTGGTCCAATGAATGAAAATACATCCTGCATATTAAATATTTACGTTACAATTCATAACAGTAGCAAAAATACTGTTATGAAGTAGCAACAAAAATAATTTTATAGTTGGGGGGCCACCACAACATGAAGAACTGTAATAAGGGGTCTCAGTTTTAGGAAGGTTGAGAAACACTGCTGTAGAACATTATTTTTACTGTTTCCTGGTATTAAGTTAGTTTCAGTGATGCTGCACACTCATTGCAGATGGAGTTTCACTCATGACTCAACCTTATCTTACTCTTTTACTGGCTGCTGCAATCTTTAAATTGTGGATTAAAATGTCTGAAGGGAAATAAATGGAAGAATAGTAACCACATCTCCTTTTGTTTTGATAATGTTCACTTCAGATTGGCATATTCAGTTAGTCAAACATGGCCATTATCCACTGAAAATTATTATAAAACATGGGTTTTCCCCCACCCCCACATTTAATTTACCCATTTCTGTCAAAATATAATTTGCTTGCCTAGAGATCACTGATAACCAAATTAAATTTGATGACAGATTTTTGTGTGTTCAAACAACAAATTACTCCAGCCCAGAAGAGCTCAAAGGAGAGGTAAATGCCTCTGCAGAGTTTTCCTCAGTTGAGCTTCAATATTTGAGAATTGCATTAGTAGCAAAGTAAATGCTGCCTGAGAAAAAGAACAAGATGGCACTCTCTCTACAGTCCATATCAAAATGGAGACTTAATTGGCAGAGGGATGTCATTTGAGCTCTGGTAATGGGATAGACAGTTCTCTAGCCACTTGGTGACTATTCTACCTGGAGGAGTTAGAGTTCAAGGTAATATTGCTAAACTGCAACATATGTACAAAATAGTTGAGGGCTACAACTTCCACCATACATCTTCAACTGTACATTCAACTGCACATTTTGTACATTCTTCCCTTTCAAGAGCCTTCATGCTCAGAGCAAGAGAAGCAGGCCTTTGGCAAGATCCCCCATGACATTCATGCCCATTAGCTAGTAAAATGTGGGCTTCATAATTCTGCTGTTAGGTGGATTGGGAATTGGTTGACTGACTGAATTCAAGGTAGCCATGTATAATGAATGATAGCTATGAATAAATATGTGAGAGGAAGCCACAGGGAGGAGAGAGCAAGCTTGTTTTCTGCTTCCCTGGAGACTAGGACACGAAACAATGGCTTCAAACTACAAGAAAGGAGATTCCATCTGAACATGAGGAAGAACTTCCTGACTGTGAGAGCCGTTCAGCAGTGGAACTCTCTGTCCCGGAGTGTGGTGGAGGCTCCTTCCTTGGAAGCTTTTAAACAGAGGCTGGATGGCCATCTGTCAGGGGTCATTTGAATGCAATATTCCTGCTTCTTGGCAGGGGGTTGGACTGGATGGCCCATGAGGTCTCTTCCAACTCTTTGATTCTATGATTCTAAGGGAAGCCCACCAATGCCTCCTCCTCATCCTGAAAGGAATTGGGAATAACATGGTATAACAGGCCTGCCAACCCTCTGCCTCTGCTCCGTGATGTTGGAGCAAATGGCCTAACAGTAAACCTGGTTCTTAATAGTAGGATTGTGAGGAAGCAGTTGAATGTGATGGAGAGGAGTCTGCACTCCTCACCTGTGCACCCCCTTTTAAAAACACGCACATACACACACACATTTCTATGAGATGGTACCATTTGGTATGTAAACACCAAGAAACTCTACCATTAGGTCTAAGTCTTGCCAATAGTCCTCCCCACCCCCAATCCCTTGCAGGTGTTCTTGTCTTGTTTTTGTTTTTTTTTTTAATCCTGCTCTGGCTTGTCATTCTATAAATCCCCATCAGGCAGGAGGAAATGTAATGAATGTGAAGCTATTGTTCAGTGCATGCCTAGACCAGTGAATTGGGGAATCCATCCAGCCAGACTGATAAAAAGATGGATTTGGAGCAGAAAATGTATAGCATTCCAGTGAAGCTGTATAGGTCAAGGTGGTTGTAGGTCCTAGGCAGGGAGCAATGGAAACCAAGTCAGTCCATCTACATGGTTTCAGCTGCTCCCATCACCCACCTTGCTCTGTTTTATGTTTGTTAGCCTTTTGCAAAGGATTTTTCGTATAATAACTATCTCACCTGTCTGATACAAAGAAGTAGCATTAAACAGTGGTGTATGAGTAGTTCTAAAACAAATACAGTACTACCCCCATATCCACAGGCCTACAGTTTTACTTAACTACATTAAAAGAAAAAAATGGTATATCTCAGCTTTTCCTAGATTCTCTGCATAATATTATGATATGCTTAAATCAGAGGTTGACCATTGTTGCATTGGATGAGCTAGAAATGCTAGAGAGGTGTTCTCTCTTGGAATTTGCTAGGTCCCCCAATACAATTCTATGGCATAGTCTCACTGGAATTGATTCATTTCAGCAGGATTTACTATTATCTGTGTTTTTGTGATTTCATGGTAATTCCAGGAACTCCACAGATATGAGAGTTGTACCGTACCACCTTCTGCTTGGATGAGGTCAGAAGATTTAATCAATGTGTATCAAAAACATCTATTTGTTTTGATACATTGTGATACATTTGATCTATTGGAACTACAAGATGCAGAGGTAACCTTAAGAAATGGTGCTACAAAGTGGAGTCCACTATAAGTGAATGCAGAGAAGAGCAAACCACAGACCACCTACTACAATGCAACCTGAGCCCTGCCACATGCACAATGGAGGACCTTCTTGCAGCGACACCAGAGGCACTCCAAGTGGCCAGCATAAGTGGCCAAGTGACCAGGACATTTAGCATAATGCCAAGTTTTAAACTTTGTGTTTTTAAATACATTATAACTGTACCCTCAATTAGCTTCTGACGTGATAAATAAATCAAAACATCTATTGTGACCCATGATGAATAGATAGTCACTTTCTGAAATATTTGTTTTCTAGGTTCATAAATATAGATATCACCCACCATCAATAAATCAAATGTTATATCTTTCTTTTTTGAATTCTCTTTTTGACTGAAGCATTTTACAGTTTCAGATGAAATTACACTGTATGTCCAATACAATTGCAGAACATTGAAGTGTATTCCTAGAGACAAGAAGAGATCAGATGAACAGATCTGGAAAACTGTTTATTATAGCTAATAGTGTGGTGTTACAGTTAAAGTGCTTGATATATGAAGTACTATACAAAATTGCAGTGAGCACTTGTATTTTAATAGGATTTCTTTCTCGACTCCATCTCTGTCATTGTAATGGTCTAATTTGCTTTTTCAGTTTGTTTCTGTTCTAATGGTTTTTCTCTTTTCCCAGCCCTACAACAAGAGGGAGGCCCAAATGGCCAGATTCTCATGAATGGATCAAAGGAGCCAGATCCTAATCTGAACATGGAGAGAGTAGAAGAGCTGATGACTGTGAGTTCACCTGCCAATGGACAGAAGGCAATTTCCACCTGCAATTGAATGCAGAGCTGTCGGGTTTGTTCTGTGGTATCGGTGCTGCAAACGAAAGTGATTCCAGAGGCATCCAACAAAACCTGGATAGCAAGTTACAGCAAGAATGAACTGCCAACTCTGATTCCTTGGCAAGACAAAGTCGCCTATCGAAGTGTTGTGGGCAGATACATAAACTGTCTGCACTCAGCAACCACATCCATGAACTTTGTGGGCTAGGTTCTAGAGGGAAATGCAGCAGGTATGAGAAAGAGAATAATTCCATCATTTGTTTTTCTGTCAGCTGGGCAGTTTTGGAAGTAACTGAAATGTGATGATTGAGGAGAACTTTTTGAGTGGAACAAATCCTATCTCACAGTAGTTGCAAGAGGGCATCGTTCCATAGAAAACCAAATGGTGATCTTAGAAGGAGTGACTGTGAACCATTCCATTTGCCTTCCTCTTTCTCAGCCTGAGAAGTCATATGTTCTTAGGAAGGTGTTGACTAAATTAAATAGACTGAAGACAAATGTGAACACCTTCACAAGGAGCTTGTGTGGGATCCTGAGTTTTGAGACTTTCTAAAATGAGTCCCCTCTGTAATTATTGTTCCTTGAGTTAGCCACTCTAAGTCCCTCAATGAGGGAGAGAGGGCGGGATATAAAACAAAGTAAACAAACAAATAAATAAATTCTGTTTACATCTAAAGAACAGGGAGTATGCTGGCTGAAACAGCATCATGCTCCCACAATCTGGATGCTCTGTGTTGTGCAACAGTGCACAGATGTTGATGCATTGAATTGCATACTGTTATCACTGGTAGGGATGTGAGAATTTCTTATAATTCTGAATGTCTGCCAACAAGGTAAAGATGTAGAGGTACCTGCTTCATCTTGATACCACTGCCAACTCCTCTGTATTTCCCTGTTCCATGGTCCAGTAATGTACTTTAGGGCATAGAAGAGAGGCAGACATAGAAAAATGGGCATTCCCAGTAGATGAAGCATATTTATACATTAAGAATTGGACTGGAATTATTCCTTTCAGAATTTCTAGTAAAAATAGTGTTACTAATGTCATTTCCAAGGGGAAAGGCTGGGAACAGAAGAAGTTGCCCATAGTAATAGGTCATTACAGAAATAGCCAAGTCATGGGCATGGGCTTGCATATGCTATCCTTACTTTAGTATCCCATCCTTGTTTTGAGATTTTTCATACTATGCAAATTACTTCCAAGGATGCTTTTGCAAATAATTTGAAGATAGACATTTCTTTGACCATGAACCCTGCTTTAATTGAGTTCTTGATCACATAGAAGGTTCTGTTTCCATTCAAGTGAATTAATGTGGAAAACTTTCTCACTCAAAAAGGTTGGATCCCTGATAGTGCTAATGCATGGAGGAAGGGCATAAAAAGACAGGACCAGCACAGATGCCCCTGTGCCAAGCCTACATGTAAGACTTTTGTACTAGAGGGCTGGAAGAGATTTTGAAAGACATCTAGAAAAATTCACTACAATAATCCTTTATTAATAACATTTCAAGAAAATAATGCTTGTTTTTCTAAAACTTAATTTAACATTCTTTCCTAGTTATGCTCATCATGATGTACTGTATAAGGTTGTATTTGACTTTTCTTCAACATTTCTTCAAAAAATACATTTCTTACTTAACTATTTCTTAACTCAGTTTCATCACTTCTAATTCAGGTAGTCTATGAAGTTGGCTAGGAGGAAAAGAAGTAATAGTAGTGAAGGAACTTTATGTAAACAGTTCTTTTCCTTGTGGTATCATATTGCAGTGTGGATCAATGCAGTCCCTTTCTTTGTGATATTTCTTAGACCAAGGTTGGGGGATATGTGGCCCTGTTGAACTCCACTTTCCAGTAGCCCTAGCCCACCTGGCGATTGGTAAGATTTGAAGAGGGTGGGTTTTCATGAACATCTGGAAGGCTGTATTTTCACTTTTCATTTCAAGGAGAGACAGACTGAGGGCCCTTCCACAAAGCCCTATATCCCAAAATATCAAGGCAGGAAATCCCACATTATCTGAGTGTGGACTCAGATAACCCAGTTCAAAGCAGATATTGTGGGGTTTTCTGATTTGATATTCTGGATTATATGGCTGTGTGGAAGGGCCCTAAATGAAAAATGCACCAGAACTCCTTTTATATTTATAGAGGTGAGTTGCTTCCTGAAAAGCTGCATCTATCAACATTCCTTTTTGAAAAAGTATTAAGATTCTTTTATCTTGACATTCCAGTATTTAAAACCAGGGGAAAATCCACTTTAGCAGATATTAAGGGCACAGGATCCTGACAAAAGTGGAAAAAACACAAATTAAAAAAATTTTTTTGGTTGGGTGAATACTTCTATAGAAATTTCTATGTCCTTTTCCACCAGATGTTCTCTGGTGGAAATCCCGTGGTCATCTTCCACCAGATGTGGACAGCTTCCATTAGAGAGCAGTGCTTGCTCTAGGAATCTCTGGGAAATTAACCATAGAATCCCCCTGAAGAATGTAGAGATTCATAAACCCAACATATTAACCAAATTTGCCAAAAATCAAATCTTAAAAGTTAAACCTGCAAATACAGAGAGCTGATAGTATACAGAATTAGAAAAAGGGAAAAGTGGGTCCCATGTCCATCCTATGTTAATGTTAAAGGGTAAATGATAGGTATGAAAAAGCTGAAGGTTTCTCCAGTTAGACAGTTTAACTGCATGAAACGGAATATGTTAAAGAAAGGACTGCAGTGAAAAACACACTGGAGAGTTGAAGTAATGAGACCACAATTTTTCAGAAGGCGATGCACATGGAACGGCTGATACGATTTTTAAGCATTTAACCAAATTGAGTGAAGATGTCTATGAAAGAACAGATGATTGAAATAAAGATTTGTCTTAATGGTGCTATAAAACTATTTCTTCTCTCTTATTTTTTTCAATAAACATCTGCAATTGACTAATGGGGCTCTGAGCTTGAATTGTATAATCTGCTTAAGCCATTGTTTGATATTTCTAAATTCCAAACTTTTCTAAGTTTTCAAGAAATTCCTATATAACAGGCATGGGAATCATGTGGTCCTCTGGCTACTTTTGCAAACCTCAGCATTTCTTACCACTGGTTATGCTGGCTAGAGTTGCTGGGACTGAGTCCAACAACATCCGGAGGATCATGTGATTCTTACTGATATCATAGAGGAAGTTTCCTTATACTGGGAAAACTACTGATTCTAGCCTAGTATAATTACCTCTGATTAAGAATGCATCTAACCCATAGAATTAATGATATACAACACCATCTGCCATGGCTCAATGCTATGGAATTATGGGCGCTGCAGTTTCACAAGGTCTTTAGCATTCTCTGTTCCTGGATGTTCAGATGATGTCCAGAGATTTAAGGTCCATAATGTGGGGTAAAACCATTAATCTGGTTTATCCTACAGTAGGAGAAGTCAGAGAGGAGGCATCTACACATATTCTGAAATCCAGGGCTGGGCTTGAGCATTCCTCTAAACAGGCCCCAGAAATGGTGGAGAAGGAGTGGGGATTCCCTGGCTGTGGTGGGAGAGTAAAAGACAATATCTCTCGTTTAGCTCTCCAGCAATGCTTGGAAATCTTACTGTCTGAACTACAGTTCCCAAAACCCCGCAACCAACATGGTGATTAATCTAGCTATAAGATTTTTGGAGTTATACTCTACAAAGTAACTTTAGAAAGAGGATTGTCCTGTTGCCCAGGCTTTTCTTCCGTGGGACAAAGTAACTTTACCAAGCTATGGTTCCCACTCCACATCTTGTACTAGTTTAGCCCTAAGCTCAGAAGTGTTGCCTGGATTTATTTCAGATATATGAATATGTAAGATGGTAAAGTTAGTAAATACATCTGTTCCTAGGTGATGAATGATGTGTGAGCCATGGGCCAACTTCTGGAAGTTTGCCTACTTTCCATTGCAAGTAAGTAATGTGTGTTATTTTTCCAGGGCTGGTGCTAGCAATGAGGCTTCTGAGCCAATTGTTTCAGATAGCAAAGCAAAGGGGTATCAAGTGTGGCATTCCTTGTCTCTCGCCTTCACTATTGTCCCCATGTCACCCTAGGAGGGTCTATTCTCTTTTCAGACCATCTGCTTCAATGCTTTTTGGTGATGATGTCCCTTGATGTGCTTGATAGTCAGGCTCCATGTCATGCCATAAGAGACATCAAGTGGTAATGTCACCTCTGCAGCTTCCTCAACATAGAAAGAGAGGAAAAAGGTTGATTATGGTATCTACTGCATACCACTGGCAGAGAAGAGAACAGTGACATAGAATCTGGCTCTTTTTGAGAAAATCGCCTGTCCTGCAGTGTAGGATTTATTTTTTCCTGGCCACTCAGCCCAAAGTGCCTTTATTTAAGCACCTTTGGGACAAATACTTTTTTCTCAAAACACCAATTGTACATCAACTACTCTTCAAGTTGTGGTTGGAGGATGGTAGAGACACCACTGCAGTTATATTACTTTTCCCCCTTTTCTTTCTTCCATGGTGAGGTGATTACTGAAACTCTCCCCCAACAGTTCAGCCCACCTCCTCTACAAACACCCCATCCTCTTCCTCCATGGGTGGGCTTGCACTTTAATTGCCAGGATATTTATTTCTTGGCTGGCTGATATGGGAACCTGGAGCATGCTTCCTGCCCAACCTAGGGTAGGAATTATTCTAATATGTAACTGAATATATTTTGTGCAGTAGAAAAATGAAATGTGTAGAAAGAAATTGTTTTTGGGGGGCAGTTAATAATATGGGCTTGAATCTGGAACAATATTATATCCCAAAACAAGTGGATAAAGACATAGAGGAACAAATTGATCACTGTCATTTTTCTGTCTTCATAACCTTATATTAATAGAATAGTATTGGGACCTACTACCTGACTCTTCTGTAACCACGAGGGTACATACACGCAAGCCTGTAGCGAGGGGGTGGTTTTAGGGGTTCAAACCCCCCCCGAAATGTTTCAGATTTTTTAAAAAACTGGTTTACTCATGAATTTTAACTGGTTAACCAAATCCCCATGCTAAGTCTATGAGATGCAAAAAATTAAGAGTCCCTCCAGAACTGCAAGCACTATCTCAAGCAAATATTGACAATTTATTCACACTGTCATTACTTGCAG